CAGGCGCTGGGAGCATTGACCATCCTTCAGAAGTGATATTCCAAGGCATATGTGAAGACTCACTCCCACACCCCTCCTTTAGGAGCCATTTATGGGCTGGTAGACATTTTAGAGTACTGATGCTGACATTTGCTCTGATCTGACTGATGCTGGTATACAGTCAGAGGGTGAGGCCTCCCCCGCCCCACTCCACATGAGACAAAAGAATCCCCCTGACATTAATACTCAACTCTGTGGTTTTTTCCCCATACTATCCCTCACACTCTCCCTTAACAGCTCTCTTTCTTGCCCTCCAAATTCTCTCTCCTTCTCTTGCATTAATAATCAATGAGCTGCAGCTTTAGAGGAGACTCTAAACACTGTTATATCCTAGTACTGATAGTCACGTCACACACACACACACAAACATGAAACATCCAATATCCAGTGCTTCAGTATGTAGTCACACCCATTACATACTCCTGCATGATGTAAGCTAGTATGATGACATATTATGCAGGGCGCAAAAACAGCAGCAGGTTAATAGCAACTGATTATCGGTTATTATTAGAAACGTCACTGCTTTTCGGTTCTATTATTAAATAACCACTTATTAAATAAATGAAGACCATACAAAAATTGTGATTAATAACATGTGGGACTTTCATGGCAGCATCTGATTGGCCAGTGCACATCAACACATGCACGTGAGAATGGCTGGGGATGAGCAGGATCATAAACGGTGTTCTGACAAATAATGCTACCTATCAGATTATGCTACCAACACTGTATTTATCCTACTGTAAGGGTAGGTTTAGGGTTGGGGTAGGTGTACATGTTAATAAAGCCTCACACCTTATTAATATCATGCTGGAAGCAAAATCTGATAGGTAGCACTTTTCGCTATCGAATTATGCTACCATCTGTTTTAATGGGAGGTAGCACATTCTGACAGGGTAGCACAAATCGTCAGAACAGCGGCACCTGCATTGCGGACAGCGCAACAATTAACAAACCACCATTCCAAAAATTTATATAATTACACCAGAAGACATTTACAAGGTTAGGGACACAAGAGAATGTGTTGCGTTTTTACTCAGAACCTGTGAACAATCCAGAAACGACAGCACGTGTCCTAAACAATATTGCATATGCATCTGCCAGATCAAATGAATAGATTTTCAAATAACTGATTTGAAACAAATAAATATTAACGCATCAAAAAAAAAAATCACAAAAATAATCGATAATGACTTAAAAGCAGTTGATGTTCTATACATTTAATATTATAAGCATGATAAATAAACAGAAATTATCTAAAATTCATTTTGCACAACTCTCGTGACATCCAAAACAATCAACCAGAATGTGTCAATGTCAAAAATGTTTTCAATGACATCTATATGCCACTTTATAGCACCCATCTTCACAATCGTCTCTAGTTACTGTCATAATAATCAGCCACCGGCTAATGATCTCATCCGTCCGAAAATACGCAACAAGCAGTAAACAATAACAACCTACATCAATGCAAGTACTAAACTGTGTACTTAAAATATACGAGGCAGTATTGTTTTCTAAACCATACAGTGCAGTAGGCTTTCTTTGAAAACATCGCTTGTTTGTTTCAGTCAGCGGCTCGAGCAGGAGCAGGTGCAGCTGAGATGCGACCCTGCCCCTGAGCGCGCTTTACACCGGGAGCGAAGCGCAAAGAAGCGGCCGACACCTACCGGAAGACGGGCTGAAATTAGTGTGTGTCTGATGGTAAGGATGGGGTCGGTTCTGCTGTTTGCAGGCTGTTGAGAGGAGAGATATGCTGGGTAATGTCTCCTCGCTGGAGCAGAGAGAGAGAGAGGGCAGTGTCTGACATCTCCCGGAGATACAACACTAAATAAAGCGGTGCATGCCGGGATACTGAGGAAAACACACGCGCGCGCACTTCTGAGTGCCTCTGGTGCAGGTGAAACGCGCGTACACAAGTCACTCTGTTTTCGTCTTAATGTTAGTGCCGAGTTATCCGTCTAATAGATGTAGTTATAGCTGGCGAGTTAAAGTCAACGGAGAGTTAATTGTGTCAACCGAAATGTAGGCTATTTGACGCAAAGCGCCATCACTATAGAAACATGATGACGTTTAGCGTGCGCTTGGTTTACAGGTCTGCGAGATGTCATTATGTATCATACCTGTCAACATTTGGGTACCAAAATACGGGAGGGGGGGCGAAGTCAAAAGTATATTATATTATTTTTATATTAATTTAAACAATTATTATCAAACAATTATATTCATTTAGTAACAAATATATCTTAGTGTAGGCTATATCTTTAGAGTTTTATAATTCATTATCTTCTTGTCGATCCACCAGATTACATTTACAACTGCTGTTTTCTGCTTAAAAACATAAGGGTCGTTTTTGGCTTTGGTCTAAACCAGTGATCCTCTTATGGTAGAGCTAAACTCTGCAGGAAAGTGGATCTCGCGAGCCAGATTTGAGGATCACTGGTCTAAACAAAGAGCAGAAGGGCTTATTGAAAAATGCAAATTCATTCTCTGCCAGCAGGTGGCGCTTTTCATCAGGAATATAGCCGTTTCCCCGGAAACTGCAGTAAACAAAGCAGAGCAGCACCTGACTTTGAAACTTGCAGCGCTCATATTTCATCAATTAAATAGCCTTTTGAAGTGTAAACTATATCTCATTATTAAAATCTATTTTAATAGATTATTATTATTATTTACATGTATATTTAGTTTTTTTCACTGGAGCACCACCTGAATCTTCTCCCATTTCTACCAGTGATCATTGTTTCCTTGCGCACATATCAATAACATCACTGGGCTTTAGGTTGCCAAGTTGAGGAGACAAATGGGTTGAAATTTTAATGTTTTTGATCGTGTGAGAAAGATGCGTTTCATACAAGATCTGGCAACTGGACAACCTTGGAATTTGTTGTCGTGATTATTCATATAATGAGGTTTGGCCCATACAAATTACGGGCGTTTTACCGGAAGCGAATGTAGCAAACTTAAAAAATACGCCCACTTTTTTAATATAAAGATTAAAAATACGGGAGAAATACGGGAAAATATTTAAACGAGATGATAGCGGGATAGAATGGTAAAATACGGGAGAACCCCGGGAAAAACGGGAGGGTTGACAGGTATGTTATGTATGACTATGAAAATTAAAGTTAATATAGTCCTCAATAGATCAACTGTATCCCACATGAACATGTGATTTGAGAATGAAAAAATGTATATTATTATTTATGTTATTTCTGTTATTAGAAAAGTTTAATATTCATCAGACAAAGTGGAGTGGTTAAAAACCCAAATTCTCTATTTCAGTTCCAGGCAGCCCTTTTAGGTATTGAGCAAATCAAATTTTCAAAAAGAAAAAGACAGGAAGACAATCTTTTTTAACAAGAGGGTTGACAGTCAGTGTGATGTTTTTATTTATTTATTTCAATTTCTTTTTGAACTAATAAAATGAATTGCAATATTTGGACAAAAGCATCTACCAAATGTAGCCTAATTATATTTATGATATCTTTATAGCTAATGTTCTCCGTTAGAAATGAAAAAAAAAGCAAAAAATTGTCCTTGAAATTTCACACAGTTGACAAAGGGTGAAAAAAGACACCAGATCGACTGTTAGACTTCTAGTCATTTTTAGAAGACATAACACAAAAAAGATGGCAAATTAAACAGTTTATAATATCTGTCATAAGTAATTCAAAACATTATTTATGCTTAGGCCTATATCATTAGTAACATATCACTAGTTAATTTATGAAAATGCATTATAATTACATATAATTATTACCGTATTTAAAGTCCCCCTGTGGTGAAAATCAAGTTTTTTATGTTGTTTATTTGTCTATGTGGTGTTTTTAATATGCTTTTAGATAAACCATGTGCCAATTTATTTATCAACACCATTGCTGAGTATTTTCTTCTTAAAACTGTAGTTTGCCAAAGGCAGTCACAGAAACGCGGTTTGAAACAGGCTATTTTTTTTGCTACGTCACAAAACTCAATAACCAATCTGTTCAAGGGATCCTATCCTTAGCATATCATTAACTGTGCTGCAAAGCAGAGGGTCTAGTGCAGGTGTGCCCAAACTCGGTCCTGGTGGGCCGGTGTCCTGCAGAGTTTAGCTCCAACTTGCCTCAACACACCTG